CAAGAAGTCTAAGTAGGCCTTGTTATTAAACAAAATTGTTTATATTGAGTTACATGGCCCGGACAGCACAGATTTTTCCCCCACGTAGAATTATAGGCAGGATTTTTTTCTACAACGCCAAAACTGCATGCTTTGGAATTTCCTGGTTGTCGCCACAAATAAAGAGATTTCGCTTTGTTAATTGGTATTAACTATTATCGGTGGATGATCATAAGTCAACAATATAAGTTTCTTTGAGGAAAAGAGTGGTTGCTTTGCTATTTTTAAGCTACCTGGTTGCAAAGCCTTATCTGCGCAGAAATAGGAGGATCGAGGATACTGAATCATGCCGCGATAATTAATACTAATAATACTGTAATAGGGAGTCCGACTAGCCGGGAAGAGTTGGCTGCGCGAATATTGGGCAGCGTGAATTTAGGGCATGCATGATGATACTCAAGCTAGGATTAGGAAACTTACTTAATACTAGGGCCTAGGGGTACACCTCTTTTTTTTTGACATTTAGGATGTCTGTCGTAGTACGACAGACCACATCCCAAAAGTCAAAAAAGGGTTGTGCCCCAGTTAGTGGGTATAGGGTAGCTTGAGTATCTCCAGCTGACATGCTCCATATTCATTCACATGTTACATGTGAATAAATATGGAGCATGTCAGCTATGGGCGGCCATTAGGGCAAAAAAGACAATCACAAAATTAAAGTTAAACAAAAATACAATAAAATTAAATGCAAAATAATAAACAATAACGTACAATTAACAATGACAATGTAGGACAACAAAATAAAGAAACCCAAAACAAAATTGAACCGTAAAAAAATAAAAACACAAATTAAACATAACAAATAAAACATTCGTGTTAAATGTACAATAAAACACAAATTAATCTAAACCCAAAATTACTGTAAGTCCCGCGTCGAATGTAAACCCCAAAATTACTGTAAGCCCCGCGACGAATGTAAACCCCAAAATTACTGTAAGCCCCGCGACAAAATTGTAAACCCCAAAATTACTGTAAGCCCCGCGACGAATGTACCCCAAAATTACTGTATTAGTCCCGCGACGAATGTAAACCCCAAAATTACTGTAAGCCCCGCGACGAATGTATGTACCCCAAAATTACTGTAAGTCCCGCGACAAAATTGTAAACCCCAAAATTACTTAAAGCGGGGTACCAGTCTACATGGACTGGTTTACAACAATCTATCACTGCAGCGTGGCCGCGCTACATGGACTATACACGTGCAACTTCAGTTGCGTTTATTTGGAGGGGGCGTAATCATACACGAAGACACTTATGTTACATGTCAAGTCAGATGGAGGGAATTGGGGGGGGGGGCAGCCACCATGATCAATTAATTTTGTCAGATTGGGAATTTTTTTTTTTTTTTTTTGAGAAGTGATTTATAGCTGAGAACATAGCAAGAATGGACCGATATGTGCAGGCTAAGTTCAGGGAATAATTTTTATTGTTGGAAAATTCCAAGAAAATTTGCCAATTTGCCGCCGTGAAGTACTATTTAAAGGGGGAAAAATTGGGTTTGGGGTTTTGTTATAATCATCAGCAGGACTGTTGCTCATTCTTTTGTACTTTTTGGGCTATGAGTCAAATGAACATTTTTGACTTTATCTTGCGACCAGCATGACTATAAGTCTTGTTAGTTGTAGGGGAAAATTCTGTTGATTTACACTGGTATGGATATCGGTACCAGTGTAGGTACATAATGCCTAGAGCATATTTCAGAGACAAATTTGAAAAACGCGAATACAACAAAGAAGATTTAACCCTTCTTCCTCAGTCAAAAAGGCGAGATTCTCGTGAACGTTAAGAGAAATTAACCGATAAAAAGATGCAACATGTCTTTGACTTTTATGTTTATAAAGGCAGGCACTGCGTACACCACCATCTTTTCCTCAAAACAAAATTTTCAAAGTGGTCAGAAATTGCCTCAGATCGCACCACAGAGCATCTAGAATCCAAAAATTCAAACCGCACGCCGTAATTTTTTGGACCCACTTTTTGGAGGACCAATTTTGGAGTGAATACATAAAAGACTAAACATATGGTGACTGATGAAGTTCGGAAAAAGCAACCCCAAAATATCCTCTGTTTCACCCGTCACAAAAACAACAGGTGGGACGGCATATTTATTATCACCTGTATAAATCACATCATTAAGTGAATTAGAAACAAAAAAAACCACAAATGTACGTAAAACAAACCTTGCGTCGCCTACACCGGAGATGGGTTTTTAAAAATCCTGCTCTCTGGGATATACTAACCTAATCGGCCCGCAGGCGGTTTATGCGTTGACAAGTTAACCCACCCACCGCCACCACCTTGTATCGGAACCAGAACTTCCTAAATGCGTATTTTACATATTAAAAAACCTAACAAATACACTCTGGGCAGCTCAATTATGTAACTACACTGGTATCCATACCAATGTAAATCAACAGAAATATTCTCTATCAAAAATGTTCGCAGAGCCTTCGGTCCTCGGATCATTTGACTCATAGCCCAAAAAGTACAAAAGAATGAGCAACAGTCCTGCTGATGATTATAACAAAACCCCAAACCCAATTTTTCCCCCTTTAAATAGTACTTCACGGCGGCAAATTGGCAAATTTTCTTGCAATTTTCCAACAATAAAAATTATTCCCTGAACTTAACCTGCACATATCGGTCCATCCTTGCTATGTTCTCAGCTATAAATCACTTCTCAAAAAAGAAAAAAATTCCCAATCTGACAAAATTAATTGATCATGGTGGCTGCCGCCCCCCCCCCCAAAAAAAATTCCCTCCATCTGACTTGACATGTAACATAAGTGTCTTCGTGTATGATTACGCCCCCTCCAAATAAACGCAAAAGTTGCACGTGTACAGTCTATGTAGCGCGGCCACGCTGCAGTGATAGATTGTTGTATACCAGTCCATGTAGACTGGCACCCCGCTTTAAGTAATTTTGGGGTTTACAATTTTGTCGCGGGACTTACAGTAATTTTGGGGTATACATTCGTCGCGGGGCTTACAGTAATTTTGGGGTTTACATTCGTCGCGGGACTAATACAGTAAGTTTGGGGTATACATTCGACGCGGGACTTACAGTAATTTTGGGGTATACATTCGTCGCGGGACTTACAGTAATTTTGGGGTATACATTCGACGCGGGACTTACAGTTATTTTGGGGTATACACATTCGTCGCGGGGCTTACAGTAATTTTGGGGTATACATTCGACGGGGGACTTACAGTAATTTGGGGGTTTACATTCGTCGCGATACTTACAGTAATTTGGGGGTTTACATTCTTCGCGGGGCTTACAGTAATGTTGGGTTTAGTTTAATTTGTGTTTTATTGTACATTTAACACAAATGTTTTATTTGTTATGTTTATTTTTTTATTTTTTACGTTTCAATTTTGTTTTGTTGTCCTACATTTTCATTGTTAATTGTACGTTATTGTTTATTTTTTTGCATTTTATTTTATTTTATTTTTGCTTAACTTTAATTTTGTAATTGTCTTTTTTGCCCTAATGGCCGCCCATAGTCAGCTGGAGTTACTCAAGCTAGGTATAGGGCTAGCCCAGGTGGACTCCCTTTTCTCCCTACGTTACGGAGGGAGTCCAGGATATGAAGTGCTCAAAACCGGGCAAAAAAATTTATGACCAATATTTTCAATATTTTTACATTGTTAGAGAAGCCAATTTTTACGTCGTAGTATTCTATGTGTCCTTATCTATTGGGCCGCTGGGTTCAGGAATTGCTGACCGACCTTAATCAGGAAAATAAACTCTAAAGCAACGTTAAACTTGTATGTTGTTGTAGACTCTTTTCATCAGTTTCTCCCCACGCCGAGTCTAGTCATACTAGGCCTACATGCATGACGTACGTCCGTGCATCGTGAACGCGCAGTGCGCACGCGCGATTTGCTTAGTAACCACTAGTCTGGTTCCCAGACCTGACAATTATTCCCGACGCTCATGTCTAAATGGAACCAGACTAAGTAACCACCCTCAAACGCATGCGCACTAACTTGTAAGTGTTGTCGCCTATCCAATGACCGGGCATGTCTTAGCAACCATGACCAGAAACATGTTTCGGCTTTGGTCATTGGTGGAGTGTTTTCATGACTTCGGTTGGCTGGAGTGACGTCACTGCACGTTCCCACCAAAACCAACCAAGGAGGGCGCTAGTGTGTGCGCTGTCGTACGACGCGGTACGGTGATGAGAAACTGATGAATAAAGAGTCTACAAACACGTACAAGTTTAACGTTGCGTACTTAGAGTTTATTTTCCTGATTAACGTCGGTCAGCATCACATATGGAATTCCTGAACCCCCCGGACCAATACTATAGTATTTAGTACTAGTAATAATAAAGGCAGTGGATATTTTGCCGGAGACGGCAAACCTTTAGTAAACGTTAGTTTGCCGGATATGCACTGAACATGCGCAGTTACTGTTTTTTTGTACTTAAACATTTTCCGGTGACAAATTTTAGTCTGGCTCCATGCCAATATTATCGTTGTAACCTCGTATTCACAAGATGGGATTCAGACCATTTTATAATTTCGGACTTTATTTCCCTTTTAAAAAAAATCCTCCAGAGCCACAAATCTGAAAAAGAACATGTAGGCCTAATACTCTGCAATAAACTGTTTGAGACATGTTAAAATAGTAACAGAAGAATATTCTTATTTATTTGGGGATGGGAAAAAAAACCTTAAAAATGTGGCGGGGAACGGGATCGAACCCGAGTCATCCCGCTCACTAGAGCTTTTGCTTAACCACTACACCAAACGTGTTACACAACTTTTGGTGGAAATTTGATACATCTTATAATTCAGCCCTATCTTAAAGAGTACAGCGCCCTCTGTTGATATGGATTGCCGCCGGCAAACCTTTAGTAAACGTTAGTTTGCCGTCATTACCTCCGGCAAAATATCCACTAGTGGCACTACCATTAATTATTACCAATAATAAATCCTAGAATTTAACTTACATAGATTGCCGGTGTTGAACGGGTATCTCATTCGTCGGCTTGATGGTAAAAAAAAATGCAAGCTAATATAATGAACAATTTCAAATAAGTCTACATCAAAGTTTCACTAAGTTTTCTGGTTGATTCCACACGGTAAAATTAGCAATTAGCAGGTCCAGGTACTTTCGACACCGATCCCACAGCGTACACATGGCGCGCTCGATCTACTACGTATCTGATCTGCATCATATCTGACGACCAACGACTAGTGTGTGCGTTGCGAGGCAACAGCTGGATAGTATGGTGGCCCTGAAAGGACATCAAAAGTGTAAATAATTTATTTCCCAACATCGCATTTTGTTTGCACGATTTTGCAGATTTGTTTTGTTTTCGGTGCAACGAAATTTCGTTAGTGAGACATATGACTAGTGGACTAGAACGGACATCAAAGGTTTAAATAATTTATAACACGACATCGCACTTTTTTAAAACAAATTTACTAATGAAATGCAAGTTGGTACATAAAACAAATATACATGTACGGGCTTTTTGGGTAGTCGCTCGTACCCCCGCCCTGCAAACAGGGCGCTGCATGGGAAGGGCAGATGAGCTTCACAGAATCTTGTGAAGGAAGTGGGGATGGCATTGTGGGTAATTTATCATGACCTATGTGTAAAGCACTGGCTGCAGCTGTAGACTGCGGTTAGCCAATGCGCACAAATACTATCCGAAAGGTTTGCCATAGAAATGCATACACAATACCGGATACGTGATTTCTTTTTCATTGCGGTCGACCACTGCATGAGCAACAAGCGCGCGACTTTGGAACATTTTCAACACTCTGCGCAAAGCGTGATTGATTGCGTAAAATACGCAGTTGCAGTTCTCCTACAGAGATGGCCGCCATTGAGCTAGCCTCATAGACATTGATTTCCATGCACGCCCCTCCCCCAGCCCTTCACTAACATTTAAAAAATGGAACAAATACATTTGTCTTATTTTGCTCTAGACCTCTTGTGGCGTATCCAGCATCTGAAAATCTTCAAGAAGGCGCAAGAATCTCACAATGTTGAACAAAATGGGTACTAAAAGTAGAGGCCAGTTGGCCTGCTAAACAGCACATTACAACTGAACTACAACCCTACTTCCACCTCCAGGATGAACTTTCAGTTGCTGATGACTGTATTATGTGGCCGGAGGTCGCGTTTGCCGCTGATGCCACTTCACATTCCGTCTGCTCCATGCTTGATTCTATTTTTGCGAGGGAAGGGTTGCCTAACGAGTTCGTTTCTGACAATGGGAGCCAGTTCGTCTCCACAGAGTTCGAGTCAAATTTGATCCAGCGAGGAATTAAGCACATCCGCACTTCACTTTACCATCCGCAGGCAAACGGACTCGTCGAGCGATTTAATCGCGTTAAACAAACTCTCCAAACGGAGAAAAACGAAATAACGGTATGTCCCGGGATTTGAATCCCGGGACATACCGTTATTTCGTTTTACTGTTTTGGATTTCCTCAAAAACAAAAACAGTAAACGAACCATTGACCGTTTTGTCGTTTTACAGTAATTTGTAAAACGGTCAAACGGTATTAGGTCACAAAAAACAATTACCTTTTCATTGTTTTTGTAAATTGTAAAAAGCGATAAACGGTTAGTTGCTTTATTTTAATAGAGTGTTGTTTTACAAAAACATGACAATGTCAAAACGGTCAATAGTCTTGTCGACTATTTTTTTTAAATTCAGGTTTAAGATGGCAATTATAGCAATGCCACCTTGGAAGCGCCACTCCTGCTTGCAACTCTTCAAGCCCCACCGACTGCAATCGCAGTAGATGGGGGTCAGGGTCACGCCAGGAATCACACGGTACGAATTATGCCGAGATAACACTTCTTCGGGCACGGCATGGTCCCCCTCCCCCCCCCCCCCCTTGCCCACGTACCGCCACAAAATGCACTACGGACTGTTAACTATGACACTGAAGTAAAAGAAAAAACAGTCTGTATTCAATACTGACCGTTTTGCTATTTTTCAAAGTTAATTGTGTAAAACTGTAAAACAAAAATCATTGATCGTTATGCTGTAATGAATTTTACTAAACTTATAAAACGGAGAAACCGTATTTATCTTAATACCCGGCGCTTGTCGTTTTGTAAAACTGTAAAACGACAAAACGGTCAATGGTTCGTTTATTAGCTGTTTTTGTTTTTGAGGAAATCCAAAACGGTCAAACGAAATAACGGTATGTCCCGGGACATACCGTTATTTCGTTTTACCGTTTTGGATTCCCTCAAAAACAAAAACAGTTAACGCACCGTTGACCGTTTTACAGTTTTGTAAAACGGTCAAACGGTATTAGGTCACAAAAAACAATGACTTTTTGTTGTTTTTCTAGATTGTTGAAAGTGATAAACGGTTAGTTGCTTCATTTCAGAGTGTTGTTTTACAAGAACATGACAATGAAAAACGGTCAATAGTCCTGTCGACCATTTTTTGATTTAGGTTAGGCAATTAAGCAATGCACCTAGGAATGTTAATGCGTCCTCATGGGATCGAGTCATTGCCTGGGACCCAAATTACCCTCCTCACATTTCGTTCTCACGACATAGTTTTCGAACTGGCTATTGAAGAGCCGCGCTGGACTCCAATTTCCTTCAGATGTCTGCAACTTCTTCAAACGTATTACCATCCTGTATCCATTGTAAAAAGTAATGTCCTCCCTTGAAGTTTTCCAGCGCCATTTTTGCTTGCAACTCTTAAGCCCCACCAACTGAATCGCGTGAGAAGGGGGTCAGGGTCACGCCAGGAATCACACCACGCATTATGCCGAGGTAACACTTTTTCATGTAAAGCATGGTCCCCCTCCATCCCCCTTGCCCAGCACCACAAAATGCACCACGGACTGTTCACTATGACACTGAAATACAAAAAACAGTCTGTATTCAATACTGACCGTTTTGCTGTTTTTCAAAGTTATTTGTGTAAAACTGTAAAACAAAAATCATTGATCGTTATGCTGTAATGAATTTTATTAAACTTATAAAACAGAGAAACCGTATTTATCTTAATACCGTTTGACCATTTTACAAAACTGTAAAACGACAAAACGGTCAATGGTTTGTTTACTGTTTTTGTTTTGAGGAAATGCAAAACGGTAAAACGAAATAACGGTATGTCCCGGGATTGATTCAACCAGCTACACCAAAATCACAGAACCGTCCTAAGAGACAAATTAGACAGCCTATTTGGGTTAAAGATTACCACATGTAAATTGTGAAGTTCTGTTCATTCCATGTGCCAGTTAAAAGTAAAGTTGAACTGTGATTGTCCTAAGTTGATCTGTTGAACATTTCAAACATTCCAATGTCTCTGATTCCTCATTTTTATATTTTGATTCTTTGCAAAGTGATCCAAGTATGGTTTCAAAATGTAAGCTAATTGCTCCTGTAATTACTCATACAGTTTCCTCATTTTTGAGAGGGGAGAATGTTGTGTTCACAGTCTATTTGCATAGCGCCCTCTGGAGTAGAAACAGTTGGGCTGCGCCATGTTGGAATTGTACGAATAAAGTGTTACCTTGAATCCAACCTCGTCCCCAGGGTGTCGAGCAGTACGCGCCCACCACTACCTGCTCTCTCACCCTGGTATTGGATCATTTGCATGTGCAAGATTTTTGCACACGTATGCAAATAAGGAACAGTCTGGTGCCTGGATATGCGTTACACATTAGCATTTGTTTTTGTATGCGGTGTCTGGGGTAAAAACAGAGTCAATTCGTAGCAGCGCGAGCACGGCGTGAGTTACGAAAACACGATTTTTGAAATCAAACTGTTACGATCTTATCCAGACAACATGCAGTATCATATTTCATATTAATATGAGCAAATTGGAAAGGAAATTAGTATTTTCGAGAAGGCGTGGACGAATGATCGCGAAAACACGTACTGCACGTTTTGAATAATAGCACCAAGTACGCGATAAAAATCCATTACTAGCCAATTGCGGTATCCAATCAGGATACAGGAAGAAAGTTTCCTATCCAGGGTTTACTATTGGAAACGCGGTTGGAAATAAAGTAAGCACTGGGGACGAGGTTGCCTTGAATCTGAATTGCTCTCTCTCAGTACTGGATTTATAACCCATGTACACACCCTGATATAACAATAATTGCCTCAGTTTGTTGGGGTTTCAGAGCACTGGAAATCCCCAATTTTCGCAACCCATGGTCAATGGAACCTCTATACCTTTGGTGCTAGCTTCCAACACCTCCATTTTAACGTTGTTGGCGATAGGAAATCCGAAGAAATTTGATGTAAGCGATTGAGAATGTTTGGTGAAGACTTAGCCCCATAAATGTGGCCTATTTACTGGACTGCCTCCGTAAACATAGGCCACACATCCACATGTACAAAAAACGTGTCGACTTTGCCAAATTTTGATTTTCACATGTAGGCTTACTTTGTAGATTTTTTTTGCTTTAGAAGCATTCTCACCCTCTATATAGGCTAATCAGAAAGTGCTGCCTTTTTCAAATGTCCATTTGTCGTGAAATTTCCAGATACATTTGCACACGTTTGCGTATCAAAATTTCAACATGAAATTTCACAAAAATTAAACATCTGAAAAAGGCAGCACTTTCTGATTAGCCTATATAGAGGGTGAGAATGCTTCTAAAGCAAAAAAAATCTACAAAGTAAGCCTAAATGTGAAAATCAAAATTTGGCAAAGTCGACACGTTTTTTGTACATGTGGATGTGTGGCCTATGTTTACGGAGGCAGTCCAGTAAATAGGCCACATTTATGGGGCTAGTGAAGACTACACTAACATGCCGCGATAATCAGGTGTGTATGTAAACTTGTGTGTGTCGTCGTGCAAGCCAAAACTCATCGGCTAAGAGATGCCTGTTGAATATTCATATTTTCTTGATTCTTAACCAATCAGACTGCTCCGTCCAATTTTGGTAGCAAGTCTCATTGCCTATGCACAAACTGACAACGAGTTATTCAAGTCTGTAATGCAGCACACGCATGGGATCGCACACGCATGGGGTCGAAAATGTACGTAGCGTCCCCGCTACTAGGACAGCATGCGGTACGTCGTACCCCCGGCACAGAGCTTGGCAGTCGCGCGCGGCGGACGCGATGAAAACCACTCATTGCAGACTTGATTTCAAGTCTATACCTCGACTGCGGCCGCGTAGTGGTTACTGCATGGGTGTACGTAGCACGTACGTAGGTAGGTATTACTATACCTCATACATATTCATGATCGAGA